ACTTTCATTATTTAAATATTCTCTGGGCAAATTACTGAATGATGCAGAAAGCATCAAGAGAAGATGGAAAGAATACACAGTCACTGAACCAAAAGGAAATGGTAACTGTTCAACCATTTCAAGAGGTAACATATGACGAAGCGCCAATGATACTTAAGGAGGAAGTCCAAGGTGCATTGAAGTAATTGGCAAGGAACAAGGCACCAGGAATTGTTGAAATACAAATTGAAATCTTTCAATAAAGTGAGGCAGCTCAGGGGGTACTCACTCATCTCTGCCAAGAAATTTGGAAGACAGCTATCTGGCTGATTGATTGGAAGAGATCCGTATTTGTTCCCATTTCAAAGAGAGGTGACCCAATGGAATGCGGAAATCATCAGACAATCTCTTTGATATCCCATGTGAGTAAAGTTTTACTAATGGCAATACAAAAATGACTGCAACCGTACATTGACAGAGAACTTCCGGAGGTTCAAGCCAGATTCAGAAAAGGCCATGGAACAAGAGATATCATTGCTTATGTCCCTTGGATCTTGTCTGAAAACAGAGAATATCAGAAAGATGTTTACCTGTGCTTTATTGACTAGGCAAAGGCTTTTGATTGTATGGATCATGACAAGCTATGGATAACATTGTGAAGTATGAGTATTCCTGAACACTTAATTGTGCTCATAAGAAATCTATACATGGACCAAGTGGCAGTTGTTTGAACAGAACATGTTTTAAAATTAAGAAAGTTGTGCCACAAGGTTGTATTCTTTCACCATACTTATTCAACCTGTATGTTGAACAAATAATTCGAGAAACTGGGTTATATGAAGAAAAACATGGCATCAGGATTGGAGGAAGACTCAGTAACAACCTGTGATATGCAGATGATATAACCTTGCTTGTTGAAAGTGAAGAGGACTTTAACTATTTACTAATGAAGAGCAAAGAGCCCAACCTTCAGTATGGATTACATCTCAATGTAACGAAAACAAAAATCCTTACCACTGGACCAATGAACAACATTCTTATCAACAAAGAAAAGATTTAAGTTGTCAAGGACTTCATTCTTCTTGGATCAACTATCAACACTTGTGGAAGCAGCAGTCAAGAAATCAAATGATGTATTTCATTATGCAAATCTGCTGCACAAGCCCTTTTTAAAGTATTGAAGAGCAAAGATGTCAGCTTGAGGACGAAGGCATGCCTGAGCCAAGCCATGGAATTTTCAATAACCTCATATGCATGTGAAAGCTGAACAGTAAATAAGGAAGACCATAGAAGAATTGATGCTTTTGAATTATGGTGTTGGAGGAGAATATTGAAAGTGCCATGGGCTGCAAAAGAACCAATAGATCCGTTTTGGAAGAAGTGCAGCCAGAGTACTCCTTGGAGGTCAACATGACCAAACTTCATCTCTCATACTTCGGACATATTGTCACAAAGGAGCAATTGCTGGAGAAGGATATCATGTTTGGTAAGGTGGAGTGTCAGAGAAAAAGAGGAAGACTCCCAACGAGATGGATTGGCCAAGTGGCAGCATCCATGGACTCAAGTGTGTCAACAGTAGTGAGGTTGGCCCAGATTGGGCAGTGTTTCATCCTGCTGTGCATAAGGTCGCTATGAGTCGGTACCGACTCGATGGCACCTAACAACAACAATGTGGAATAATGGATCTTGTTTTTTTATGTACTCTATGAGAGTCTTAGGATGACTGTTGAGCATCTTTGATTAAGTACTTCAAGAGGAAGTTGTCATTCTTCTGCCAAGTGCCAAATTGTTTGCTTCTTTGTGTTAGAAAAAAGGGAATGTTGAGATCCTGAATCATTTCTATCACAAACATGGTTTCAATTAGGGCATGACATTTGTAAGCATAACTATGGGACAATATTGTGGTTTTCCCAACTTTAACTGTTATCCAAAAGAAAAAATTTCTTTAAGAAATTTTTGCTCCAACTGTTGTAACAAGGAAGGTGAGTTCACATGTGAGTTAATTACCCACAGACCTATAAAATCTTGCTCCCAGAGTAACCAAAATACATTAATGGTAATTAGAGAAACAAAGAGTAACAACGGACCTCATGACATCCAACATATTTCTAAGAAAGCTAAGTAAATTTCAAAGCTCAAGCAAGTAAATATTTCTGTAGTCTACAATTTCAATTCCAAAAAGAAAGGAGGAAACCAGAGAAAGTACTATCATGCAAATCATAAGCACTTTATCACCATTTGGGGATTATGGGTATATATGTCTGTATACACTTATACATGTGTACTTGATTTATGCACAAATGTTTAATTTACAAAGGATCCATCTTTGAATATGAGTTCCTCTAAAATTGATTTATATGGGTAAAATTACACATGAATCACTGTACATATTTTACATACCACAAAATGAGTTATGATCATAGACTATTTTCATTTACTCGTATTTTCCAGAGAGGCCTTTCAGTGTGTTCTTATTACACATTCATCAAAATAATTGAAATACAAAGCTACTGAAACCAATATTTTTTCAATTTATACACATAGTTGTTGTTGTTGTTGTTGTTAAGTGCCGTCGAGTCGGGTCCGTACCCATAGAGTTAGTATAATTAATTATATTTGTTATTGTTGTTAAGTGCCGTCGAGTCGGTTCTGACCCACAGCGACGCTGAACAGGGTTTCTGAGGCTATAAATCTTCATGGGAGCAGAAAGCCTCATCTTTCTGCCACAGAGCAACTGGTAGTTTTGAACTACTGACCTTGTGGTTTGCAGCCCGATTCGTAACTACTAAGCTACCAGAGCTCCTTTAGTTCTCTTTTAATCTCATTGTTTTTGGAATCTTCTTCCAATTCTTCCATCATTAATTCCTGTTTGGGTTTTTCAGCACTTTTATTATAAAGTAAATTTTTACCATGTGTGTTTTGAAATGTAGGTTCCTGAGCCAGGTGATTCGATGTGTTTATGGTCATATTAGTTTTCCCTCTTAGTAGGTAGGCTTCCTTGGGTTTTGTTCTCCTTTGACAGAAGTGGAGCTGAAAAGCATCTTGGAAACCACGGCGAAAATTTTCATTGAAAAAACCATAAATTATGGGGTTGATGCTGCTGTTACAAAAGGCCAGCCAATGTGCAAAGGGGTAGATGTAGATGTTAATGATATGTAGTTCATTTGGAGAAAGGTCCGCATAGTCTGAAAGCATCATCAGAGTCCACAGGGGCAGCCAGGAGAGAATGAAAAGCAATGCCACTATCAGGAGCATCTTAATGACCTTCTGCTTCTTCTTAGACACTGACTGCCACTGCTCCTGATTCTGCTTGCCTGTGTGAGGAACTGCAGCCTTAAAGAGGGAGATCCCAATCCTTCCATACATGATGACAATGAGGGTCAGCGGAGTCAGGTAGATATTGACGAACAGCACAGTGGTGTAGATCTTCCTCATTTCCTGATTCGGCCAATCTTCCCGGCACCAGTAGACTGGGCTGGTTTTATTCTGAAAATTGAGTCTTACTTGGTAATGTTTTTCTTCCTGTACATGTAACATTATTGCAGAGGGAGACATAATGGTAATGGCTAGGACCCAGATGATGACAATAATGACAAACGCTGTCTTGATAGTGAGCTTTGGTTTAAAAGGATACACAACACACCGGAACCTGGAATGAAAGGAAAACACAGTGAGGCACTGTCTAATAACTTCTGACTGGATAAATCTATTTAAGTAATTATGAGTCTTCTACACACTAATATTCCACTCAAAAACAAAAAATTACCAATAGAAGAGAGATATGTGCTGCTATTTTCCTGGAATTGATATGAGATAAACTTCAATTCAAAATATGAATAAATGAAGATGATCAGATATTACTACTAGTAAAGATAATATTGGTAACTAACTTATTAAAATGAAAATTTTTAAATTCTCTTCCAGACATGGTAATCTAAGTGTTTAGTGTGAATTATCTCTTTAAGTCTCTCCATTTAAAAGGTGGAAAAGCCAACTTAGAAAATTAAAAATCTTGCTAATAATTACACAGTAGTTTGACTACAGAACCCCTACTCTTAACTTCTAGTGTACTCATTAGACTGTATGCTGTAGATTAAATCAATAGTGATCAACACATTTCTCTCTCATGTTCTTTTATAGTCTCCACTCCCCCACCACACACATTATCTGTGGGCTTGGCCATACAATTTGCTTTGGCCAAAGGGATATGAGCAAGCATGATGTAAACAGATTTTTCATGTGTTTGCACAATTTCTTTTTGGAATGCTTTCTCTAGAATCTAACTGACAGGTTGTAAACAAATTTGATCCAGATGAGAAGACATGTAGACAAAAATCCTAGAGGTTGAAAACAGAGCTGTCTTTTTCTTTCCCTGGCTTAGCTCCCAGATAAATGCTACATCATGAGTGATTTCATCCATAAAGTATGGAGCAGAAGAACCAAATAGCTAAGCTCACAGAATCATGAATATTAATAATGATAAGTGATAAATTATTGTTGTTTTAAGCTACTAGGTTTTTGGGGTATTTTGTTTTATAGCTTTAAAAATCTGGGGATTTTCATTATATATTTTGATTCTGAGTCTTCCTAACATTCTGTCCTCTAAAGAGCATGGAAATTCAATGTCAGCATGTAGAGTAAGTCTGATTCATTTCATCCTTAGCTAGCTATTGAAAATCTTAATGATACTATTGATGTCCATTATGTTAATCACAAAATAATGATACCATTGTGAAACTGTAAGGTTGTACAGTGGTTAAGGGCCTGGCTGCTAACTGTAAGTCCAGCAGTTTGAACCCACCAGATGTTTTGTGAGAGAACAATATGGCAATCTAGTTCCATAAACATTTACAGCCTTGGAAACCCTATGGTGCAGTTCTACTCTATCCTAGAAGGTTGCTTTGAGTCAGATTTAACTTGACAGCAGTGAGTGGGTTGCAAACTATTTAATCTTTTATTTTTATGATCATTTTATGAAACAAATTTGAAAATTTTAAATATGTAGACAAGTAAAAGATTTACAAGTGACGGAACAGCAATTTTAAATTAACTTATCTAATATATCTTGATATAAAAATATATTAGTTTGGGCTTGGATTGCCTTATAATTATTTTCATAATGCTTTCATTGCAGGTGTAAGATCTTCAGTATTAATCAAATTTTCATTTAGTCCTCTAATTATCATGCCATATATCCATTTTAAAACTATGGCTACATTCATGTACACAATTCTAGTATTTTATTTTTTTTATAGACCAATAGTGAGGCTTCAAATGCATGTGTTTATATTTCCATATGTGTATTTCCATATCCTACTAGACAGAATATGGAAATACACATATGAAAAATTCATATGACTATCTTGCAAATGAACCAGATAGAAAATAATTCCTGCAGAGTAGTAGTCAATAGAGATATCAAGTAATAATTACTACAATCATCCTAAAGAACTCAGGTTTTATCCAGAGGGCAATAGATGTTCATTAGAAAGATTTTAAACAGCTGGTGAAAGATAAATTATGCAATTAATATTGCTTATTTGGGTTGCTATGAGGAGAATAAACTGGAGACAGGCTTGACTAAAGATGTACAGCAGTTAAGAAACAATCTCCATATCTCTAGGAGCAAAGGATAACAGAATTGTTGTTGCTGTTAGGTTTGAACTCATAGCAACCTTATGCACAACAGAATGATACACTGCCTAGTCCTTTGCCATCCTCACAATTATTGTTACACTGAAACCCATTGCTGCCGCCTCCATGATAATCAATCTCGATTGGGGTTTTCCTCTTTTTGGCTGACTCTCCACTTTACCAAGCACGATATCTTTCTCAAGGGACTGTTCACTCATGATAATATGTCCGAAATATGAGAGGCTAAGTCTCGCCATCTTGGCTTCTGAGGAGAATTCTAGTTGTACTTCTTCCAACATAGATATATTTTTCTTCTAGGTGTCCATGATACTTTTAATATTCTTCTCCAACACCGTAAATCAAATACATCAATTTTTCTACATTCTTACTTACTTAATGCCCAGCTTTCATGCATATGTCACTATTGTCATTGTTAATTGCTATTGAGTCAGTTTCAACCCATAGTAATCCTGTATCGGGTTTCCAAGGAGCAGCTGCTGAGCTTGAACCACCAACCTTGCAGTTCAAACCAATCTTGCAGTCTAGCACATTAACCCACAGTGTCATACTATTGCTCCTCACATAGAGCTATTGAAAATACCACGCTTTGCATCATGCACATCTTAGTCCTGAAACTGATATCCTTCCTCTTTAACACTTTAAAGAGGTCTTGTGCATCAGATTTACCTAATGCAATGTGATTTTTTGAATGCTGCTTCCACGAGTGTTGATAGTGGAGCCAAGCAAAATAAAGTCTAAGACAACCTCAATCTTCTCCATTTATCATGATGTTATTTATTGGTCAAGTGGTAAGGAGTTTTGTTTTGTTTACATTGTAATACAACCCATACCAAAGACTGTGGTATCCATCAGTCATAAGTCCAATTTGCTTTAAGCCAGCGATGCTGTATCATCTGCATATAACAGGTTATTAATGAGTCTCCCTTTAGTCATGGGACCATGTTCTTCTTCATATAATTCAGTCTCCTGGATTATATGTTCAGCATACAGATTGAATGAGTATGGTGAAAGAAAATTACCCATGCTTATACTTCACCTTTCCTGATTTTGAACCGTTCAGTGCCCCTTGTTCTGTTTAAGTTATTGCCTCTTAGTCTCATGCAGGTTCCTGATGAGCACAATTAAGTGTTTCAGAATACACATTCCCCATAATGCTGTCAATTGTTTTTCATGATCCACACAGTTGAAAGCCTTTTGCATAGTCAATAAAGCACAGACAAATATCTTTCTGGTATTTTCAGCTTTCTGCCAAGATCCTTCAGACACTAGAAAGGATATACATTGTTCCAGTCTTACATGAAACTGGCTTAAATCTCTGGCAGTTCCTTTTCATGTACTGTTCCAGTCATTTTTAAATTACCATTAGCAAAATTTTACTTGCATGTGATACTAATGATATTGTCTGATGATTTCTGCATTCCATTGGGTCACCTTTTTTAGGAATGGACACAAATATGGATCTCTTTTAGTCAGTTGACCAGGTATCTGTCTTCCAAATTTCTTGACATAGAAAAATTAGTGCCTGTAATGCTCATCAATTTGTTGAAAGATTTCAGTTTGTATTCTCTTAGTGCCTGGGACCTGGTTCTTTGCCAATTCCTTTATTACACCTTGTATTCTTTCCTTCAGTACCATTGGTTTTGATCATATGCTGTCTCTTGGGTGAGCATTGTGCATTTCTTTTTGGTACAGTGATTATGTGTATTCCTTCCATCTTCTTTTTTTTAAGTTTTTATTGTAAACTGAGTGACAGTTTATATGAGAGAACATCAGCTTTACTCCATTGTCTCATTGCAATGATTACAATCTCTTCTGTGCATCATCATTCAACAGTATTTGCTTCTATTCCCTGTTTGTTTGTTTTTTTGTTTGTTTTTGGGGGGTGTACACAAAAATATAATAATTTAAACAACCAAAGGGCACATTCTGGAAACCTGCCTCCTGGCTGCCAGCACCCAGTCCTTCTCTTTCCATGAGTCCAGAGTCCTCAGCTGCTCGCCCTCTCCATGTCCTCATCTCTGCCTCCATCTCTGGTGTCACTGCTTCTCTGGATAGGGTCACACGTTCTGCTTGTACCCTTGATGGTCCTAGGGTCCTCTGTTTCTTGGCTCTAAGATTAAGTACTCCCCTGTTTTTGTTACAAAACGTCTCACAATGGTTATTTTTGAGGTCATTGTTGCATCCATCTCATTGGGGGTCTTCCTCTTTTTCACTGACGGTTCTCTTTTCTAAGCATGATGTCCTTCTCCAGGGACTGATCCCTCCTAGTAATATGTCCAAAGTACAAGAGATACAGTGTCATCATCCACTCTTCTATGGAGTATGCCAGCTGATCTTTTGTCAACTTAGATTGGTTTGTTCTTTTGGCTATTCATGGTACTTTCAATATTCCTAATCACTATCAAAATTCAAGGAGTGCTCGTGTGGCACTGTGGGTTAATGTGTCAGACTGCAAAGTCGTTTGAACTGCAAGGTCGGTGGTTCAAGCTCATCAGCTGCTCCTTGGAAACCCTATACAGGGTCGCTATGGGTCGGAATCGACTTGATGGTACTTAACAACAACAACAGTCATAATTCAAATGCGTTGATTCTTCTATGATCTCCCTTATTTGTTGTCTAAATTTCACATGCATCTGAAGCAATTGAAAATACCATGGCTTGGATCAGGAGAACCTTTATCCTCAAACTGTTATGTTTGCTCTTGAACTCTTTAAAGAAATATTGTTGTTATTGTTAAGTGCCATTGAGTTGGTTCTGACCCATAGCAACCCTGTATAGGGTTTCCTAGGAGCAGCTGGTGCACTTGAACCTCCAACCTTGCAGTTCAAATGGCTTTGCAGTCTGGTGCATTAACCCACAGCACCACACCAGAAATATTATGTAGCACATTTTGGCTAATGCAAAACATTGATTTCTTGACTGATGCTCCCATAAGCATTGATTACGTATCCCAGCAAATTGAAGTCTTTGATAATTTCAATCTCTTATTTATTTATCATGATGTCATTTATTGGTCCCATTGTGAGGATTTTGCTTTCTTTAATCGAGGTGCAATCCACACTAAGGCTGCAGTCTTTGCAATCCTTCCTGACTTCTGAACTTTGTCTTTGTTCTTCATCAGTAAATATTTCAAGTCCTCTTCGCTTCTTTCAAACAATATTTTGTCATCTGCATATAACATGTTAATATGATTCTTCCTCCAATTTGGATGTCATATTTTCATATAATCCAGCTTCACAGATTATTTGTTTAGCTTACAAATTGAATAAGTATGGTGAAGGAGTACAACCCTGGTGCACACCTTTCCTGATTTTAACCCATTCTGTATTTCTCTATTCTTTTGAACAACTGCCTTTTGGTCTATGTACTGATTTTCTAAAAACTAAAATTTACTCATTCTTCTGTTTAAAATACTTCAATAGTTCCTGTTGTCATCATAGCAATACTTTAACCTTCTAAAATGGAAGATAAGCCCATTTAAAAATCCACACTTTTTTGTCTTCTGTGGTCTAATGTGCCACTTGATCTTCCCATGGTTGAGCTCTCTGCACTTCTTTCTGCTAGTATTCTCCTCTTTGACATATTAGACATGTTTCTCATCTCTTCCCCCTGCCCTTTTCTTTTCTTCTTCTTTTGCTTAAGTATGCCCCTGTCTTAGAGGTACCCTTTACCAAGTTTCTTCTCAAGGTAACTATCTAATCCCTCAAGATTTAGATAGGTGTCATCTTCTCTAGGTGTCATCTTCACTTTCTGCCCTGACAAGTAGAACTGATCACTCATTTTCATGTCTGTTATACCCTAGACCTCATTTAGAGAACATTAATAGCATCTTACAGTGTATCTTTCTAACTTCACCAACTTCTGAATTTTTTCTGACACAACCCTTTGTCTAATTTATTTGTTTTCATCTTTATTGTGAATGGGTTAAGGTTTAAAGAGCTAATCAATTTTCCATTCAAAAATTTATAAACATTTTGTTTCATGTTATTGACTGTAATCCACACACTGTAGCATTCCCTGATCCCACTTTCTCCCTGTTTTACCAATTTCCATTCCTTCTTTCTGTTTAATCCTTCCTGACTTCTGAACTTTGTCCTTGGGCAAATGTTGCCCTTTTAACCTTGAATAGTTGATTGTTTTAAGGCATACATACTTCTCTGTTGCTATTGTTCATCATTTAGAACTGTCTATTGTTTTGCTGAAAATTGAGCTATTTATTTAAATGCTTCATAACTCAACTCTTTTCCTGGTGCATCATAAACTCTGAACCAAGTGCATAAATAAAGGAACAAAATTTTATCTTAAAATCTGGATAACATTTCAGATTTATTTCAGTACATTTGTATTGTCACCATTAGGCAATTTAGGTTTCTAGTGTGAAAAATAGTAAAATTGCATCATCCCTAATTGTTTAATAATAAAATATCAAGAATTGAATAATTTTCTTTTCTTAATAGTGAAGGTATATACTTTGCTTTTAGAAGGATAGTAAATATAGATACAGTTTTTAGAACCTATACGTGATTTAGCAGATAGTTTTTGATTAGATGGATTCGTTATAGATATGCCCCATTGTCCAGATCTGGAGTTTGGCACTGACTTACCTATCTACTGCTATTGCAACTAAAGTGAAAATTGAAGCTGAAACTGATATTCCCTGGACCAATCCACTGATCTTGCACATTGTGTTCCCAAATGGCCATCCTGCAAGGGAAATGAGACAGTCAGACTGTGAAAAGTATATAAGAGCATTTTGTATCTCAATGAAAATATCGAGAAAATCATAAACCATCCAAATCAATTAATTTTTTCTAAATGACAGTAAGAAAACAATCAGTACATTTTCCATTATTTTCAATTATCCCTCCAAAGTTCTGTTTTTCAGTATTCTGACACTGCTGCTATTGTGTGTCATCAAGTTGGTTCTGACTCAGTGAGACCTTTCATAGGGTTTCCAAGCCTGTACATGTTTATGGAAGTAGAAAGCCTCACCTTTTCCTACAGAGTGATTGGTGGAGTCTACCTGATGATCATGCGATTAACAGCCCAATGCATAACCCACTCTGCTATCAGGGTTTCTTTTGCACTGACATGATTTGACTAGTTGGCAGCTATTAGGTGCCTTTGAATCAGTTCCAACACATAGCAACCCTAAGTACAGCAAAATGAAATATGGCCCCGTCCTGTGCCATCCTCACATTGCTGCTGTGCTTGAGAACATTGCTGCTGCCACTGCGCAAATCCATCCCACCGGGGTCTCTCTATTTTTTGCTGACCTTCCACTTTGTCAAGCATGGTGTCCTTCTTAAGGGACTGGCCCCTCCTGATAATATGTCCAAAGTATGAGAGACAAAGACTGACCATCTTGGCTTCTTTGGAGCATTTTGTTTAAACTTCTTCCAGTACAGATTTATTTGTTCTTCTAGCAGTGCGTAGTAACTTTAATACTCTTCTCTAAATCCATAACTCAAATATGCACCAGTTCTTCTAAGGTCTTCCTTATTCATTTGCCAACTTTCACTTGCACATGAGGCTATTGAAAATGCCTCGGCTTGAGATAGGTAATCTTTGGGCCTCAAACACTTTGAAGAGTACTTCTGCAGCAGATTTGTCTAATCCAATACGTTGTGTGATTTTTTGACTACTGTTTCCATAAGTGTTGATGGTGGATCCAAGTAATATGAATTGTTTGACAACTTCAATCTTTTCTCCATTTGTCATGATGTTATTTATTGGTTCAGTGGTAAGGATTTCTGTTTTCTTTACATTGAAGTGTAACACATATTGAAGGCTGTGAGCTCCGATCGTCGTATTTTTTTTTTAAATAAATGTTTTATTGTTTATTGAGTGATATTTTACATGGGGAAACATTAGTTTTACATTCATTCTGTCATACATCATTACATTGCCTTAATTACCATCCCATCCATGCATCAACCCCCAGCAAAAGGGTATACCTTGCATACCTCCCCTCCCCACCCCAGGGCTCTCCACTCCTAGACTGAAAGGTTAGTCACTCCCCTCATTGCTATAAAATATGCACCTTTACACTTCAGTCCTCACAATCAGTCCTGGTAACAATTTTCACTATTGCATCACATGAGACCCTTCTGCATTTCTTTTCATCAGCCCTTCCTAGACAGATTGGGTACTATTCACTGGAGACTCCACTATCCTCCCTGCCCTGTGGATCTAGGTTCCCTCTTGAAAGCTTGTAAGCCAGTCACTTCTTACCTTTGTATTCCTCCCTCCATTTTGGGTGGCCAATGTTCAAGTTGCCCAGGGCTTCCCACTCTTTGTATGGAGGGGATGTGAATATCTCTTATAGCCGATAATTTTTTCCTCTTTTGAGCTACTGCAGTTATATGTGTAGGTCCAGTTCATCCAGTTGTATCAAATGACACTTTTTTTTTTTTTCCCTCTTCCTTCTTCCTCGGGTTGAGTTCTGTTCATCCAGTCATTGAAGCCAGGTCAAGTGGGTATCATCTACAAGTGTGGGTGTTCTTGCATCTGTCAGCCCTCTTCTTATCAGCTGGTCTCTTCACTCTCCACTCTAGTCCTCTGTAGCTGTGTCACTGACTCTAAGCTCATGAGTCCCCCAGTCCTGCCTTGCTGCTAGGCAACCGAGTCTCCACCCGGGTTCACAGTAGTCTACTGAACAATGTAGGGCTTAGTTCGCCACTTCATTGGTGTTCTTAGGCCACTTCTCTTTATGGATGACATGCGTGGTGGCCAATCAGAGCATGTATTTCCATTGGGTCTTAGTCTTGGGAGAGGATTTGTGCTGAAAGGATTCGTCCACTTGCCTTGATGTCTCCTGGGCTAGCAGCCTACTTGTTCTTGTGGTAGCAGTCAGACTGCCCTTAGTGTTCTGTGTTTTTCCTGTAGGTCTTTC